AGCTCACTATCCATACGCAGTTATTTAATGTCTCTTATTTGCGCTCCAATTAATCTTAAAATACTTCTCAAAAATAAGTATCTTAATTTCCAAGCTTAATATTCGTACAACAAATCTCTTTCAGAACTCAAATCATCGGGGTATTTATTTGTAGTTGACCTCTTCTCAGCCGTTCCTGTTAAAGTTGAAAATGTCATGGTGAACTGGTTAACATTGCCCTGATGGGGAAATTTCCTACAGCAATCATAGAAATGTTGCGAGTAATCAGTTTGATTTAAGTCCAGCCACAAGCAGCCTAAGCGTATTATGTGTGAATTTTGGGTATTAAGGTCGTTAACGGGAACACCCTACATAATAAGATTATAAGCGTGTGCCGTAAAAAAATGGGAACATTCTAAAAAAAAAAATAATAAAAGCGAGGAATATAACGTGTTAAGTCTGCTTACCTTTATTCCGTAGCTGCCTTGTCACTTACGGTCGTTTGAACGCTATTTTGGCGACTTTCTCAGTACTTCGTGTTGTACTATACATCTATACTTTACACTAGTAGTAGTTGTCACTAAAGCTGTCCCCTCTATTTTGATATTATACTGTGTAGAATATCTTTTGAAGTGGAACTTTGTACAGGGAAGGACCTTTTTTTCTTCAAAGCCTTGTCCTTATCTTACAGCTGGCTTATTTGAAGATATCGGGAAAGTGAAAGATGAGAAGTTTTATATCATCATATGCTATCGGCCGGTGATCTCTGTTTAGACGTACAGGTATTAAGAAGCACTTAACACGTTCTATGCGATCTGATAAATTTAAATACAGTCGACCCTCTCTACAACGGCCACCCCTCCGCAACAGCCATTCTTTTTTTTGTTCCCGGGGGGCTGTCCATACATTCACCCCTACCTTTCCATAAAAGCCACCTCTCCGCAAAGGCCACTTTCTTTTGTCCTATAGGTGGCCGCTGTGGAGAGGTTCAACTTAATCAAAGATACGTCACACTGACATGAAAGATTGCGTGACAGTAATGAGTACTACAGTCACACAATCCTACATGTCTAAATCCCTTTTGAAATGTATTTCATTGAGTCGATCAAGAACAAAGGTTCACCGATAATAATTTACTACGTATTGTTGTAAAAGTTCTTCGCTACGTTATCAAACTACAAAAATGTTGATGGCGCAGCATGCTTCCATTGACAGGAATCTATTTTTGCGACGGTTAGTCTGATTTCGAAGGTCATTCAGTCGGTAAAAGCGACTGAATGACCTTCGTTATCGTGACCTTTGTTATTGTTTCAGCTCAATCGGCTGAAACAATAACAAAAAACGAGGTTCACAACAACAAATCGGTAAAAAATTTAACAGTTGTGTGGATTCAAATACCTTTTTGGTTTCGTATCGATTGTACTAGACTACAATGTTAGTGAAATTCAACTCTTTCTCTCTCCAATTTCATGAAAGTTACAATTGAAAGTTACAATTGAAAGTTCACCGTAAAAAAATGCAGATGGTGATAAATTGTCAGTTGAATTTCCCAGCTTGCCAAACGACTAAAGAAGGTTATGTCCTCTTTCAGCTATGTTTGAATGTCACGAAGTTACACATATAGTTCCTATAGGAGGAACCGAAAGAGTCGTTTTAACCTCCGTTACAGTGTTACTGAATACTTGGAACCCTTCATCGTTATTCGGTATTTCGATGGGAATAATGCAGCGAAAACTTAAAGAAAAAATATCTAAAAGAGGAAGCAAGTTAACGGATAGAAATAAGATAATGAAATTCTACCTAAGAGACTTGTCGAAAGAGGATCCTTCACACTCACAATTATACAAAAGTTTATGCAATTGTGTTTCTTATAATTTGGTCGCATCCGGAGAGACAGATGGCTACTCTGCGGCATTCACAAAGTAAAAACTAATGATACGAGTACTTAGAGAGAAATAGAAACAAACTGACCAGCTACACAAAACAGGACTTTTCAAAGCGACCTCTGGACCTCTATAACTCTGAAAATATGCCAATATCACAACCCATGAGTTGCTAAACCAGTTCTTTGTTCTTTTTTCAACCAGTTCCAACCAGTTCTAAACTAGTTCTTTGTTCATTTCTCAACCACGGAATATACTTTTGGATTGTGGTGCGAGTCTTTCGCGTTCAGTTAGGCGGTTTGATTTGTGTCTGGCAAATCCAAGTGGGACCGTGTCTTTCGGTCAAAGAGATCGATGACCAATGCGAGTTTCCTCAAAGTCCTCGCGGAGCAATGCGAGTTTCCACAATTTTGACTTTAGATCGAATAGACTTCGATGCGATCGACTAGACTTCGGATGCGATCGAACAGACTTCGAAGGACTTTGACTTTGGAAGACACTTCGTAGCGCGGCAAAGATTACGCTCCCAGATTCCTTCGCGTGTTTATTCTACCCCCAGCGAACTTTCGGCAATCCTTTGCGTACTTCTATGAAACTCATGGGGGTACAAATAGTCTTAACATGAATATAGTGACCACGCCCACTTCAACGCCCCACTCACTGATCGAGTGTTTTAACATCGTGCGCATTCTCTTCGCAAAAAGCACTCAATGCACCTCTGAAATATTAAACTATAATATTGTGGCTTTCTATTTCGCTCATTTTCTAACTTGAAGGTAAAGTTTTTCCCTCGTCATTTTTACTTTTTCTCTGAGCGGTTGCGTGAAATTAACAAGGCGTTTTTGATCAAAACCCGACCGAGCGAAGGGTCTCGGGCGATATCTCTTTTAAGCAGGCGCAAATTAAAAGTGTACCGCCAGAATCAAAAAGAGGAACAAATTACCTTTGTTTTGATATGTAAAGGGTCAACAAAAAGCAGATTTATCCTCGTCAAATGGCGTTTCAAAATAGCTGTATCTTCCTACTTTTTGTTTATATCAGGGTCCTCTCGCCGTCCAGACCAAAGCTTGTCAGTTTATTTCACGCGCAAGTTGGCCATGGAACGATTCTTTTCTATCCTATAGAGAGTTTTCCGATGGAATAAACAGCTTTTCGCTGCGAACAAACGGAAAATATCCAGATCCTCCATCGGCCCTAAAGGGTCTCCATTCATCGAAGCATGTGCTATAGCCAACGTAATTAATTTTCAACCTCTTGCTGATTTTGTCAACCTCCCTGATCTCAATATCATACCGTTTTGTGTCTTTCTTCCGGGGATTCACCTTTCTAACTGGGGTGTATGTTGAGTATTCATTACAAAATTGCTTTGTTTTTTTTTATTTCCCTCTTTGGCCTGTCTACCATATTGAAAATTCGCAACTGAGAGCAAGCGCATTACGTGGGGTAAGTGGTAGTGTACACCTAGAACAGAGATAAACGTGGAGATGTTCGTCGCGCTTGGGAAAGAGTTTGATGTGCGGCGGCAATCTTTTGTTAGACGTGGTCTCAATAATCGAGATTTTCCCTATTACGGCGAAATTTTCCTCCCCTTATAAGCGAGGATTTCTAGGATGCCTCCTTGGGTTTTGGCCGTCTGGGGCCAAAACCTTGCGGTAGCCGAATGATTATATATTGTAGCACACTGACGCCATACAAAGACAGTCGCGAAAATAGCGTTAAAACGACCGTAAGTGACAAAGTGGCTACGGAATAATAGTAAGGAGACTTTAAACGATATATTCCTTGCTTATATTACCCTTTTTATTTTTTTTATATATTTTTTTATAATTTTCCTTTTTTTATGGCCAATGCCTACCCCAAAATCACCCACAATACGCTTGGACCGCCTGTAGTCCAGCATGCACCGCAAAAGTGAGAATAGAGAAGAGGTTGGTTTGATTCACATACTGGTCCGCGTTTGTGGGTTCGTACTCTTTGATGTAAGTTATCTGACGTAAATATAGACTCTTTCGCGTGTTGTACCTTCTGCTTTGACGACTCGCTATAGAGAGGAAATTTCTAAGGTTACGGCTTTGCGTCTTGTTCGCAGTAACTGGATCGCGTCACGGGACATGTTATCTAATCAACATCGTCCATTTTGCTTATAACTGATAGTGGAAAATATCTAAGGTGGATTGACACTTACCTGAACACGTACGGGTTTGACTTTCACTATCCATAGAGCCCAGAACACCAAGGAGAAACGCTGTTAATAGGAGTGAGCTGAGTATCATGGTTATGCGCTGATCTCTACTTTCGACTGATTCCACTTGGACGGCGACTTCGATTGTATTTATGACTTGGACATGGCTTCCGACATAATTGAGGAAGTTGTTAGTAAACTAACCAATTAGCCATATTCACGGTCAGATTGGATTTTACTGGTAAGGTCTAAAAATAAAAACGGTAACACGACTCTAGTTGAAATTTTCTGAAACCAGGTTACGTGCAGTTTTCATGTGGGCTTCCTGTTGTTATTTTCTGCTCGGGGAACTCGTTTATCATAAAAGCTTTCAGCTTTAATTCAAAAGCTTTACTGACAGTACAATGTCTGAGCGCCATTACAAGATAATTTTGTTTTATCGACTGAGTTGATATTTTAAAATGTCCATTGTAATTCTGTAGTTGACGTTTGAAGCTTTAAGGGCCATTATTCCGTTTGCGCAATTGGAGTCAAACTCTGTGCCAGATGATTTGAAGGTGGAAGTTAAAAATTTGCGTTCAATGTTGACCCTGCCGCAGTCTACGACCCCTACAAACAGATAACGTGAAAAGATCCTTGCTCGTTCACGCAAACGATCAGATGATGATCAACCTAATAATAGCTCAACTACGGTTTGACAAGCTTTTGAATTTGTCCGCGGTGATATCTTAAAAAAAATTATGCATAAAATCCCAAAAAGTGCTTAGTGACCTTAGTGGATCGTAAACTTCAGTACAATCGAACAAATTTCCAATGGGAACACCTGACAAACCTAGCTGAGCGTGTTTGCACAAAAACAGGAAGATCGATATTTGAAACCGTCGACACCCACCACAAAATACCTCTTGAGAATGAAAAAAACTTCTGTTTGATACAAGGAAGCGCTCGCTGAGCGCACAGCCTGCTTTTGATCTCGGTAGGATTTTGCCAAGTCCATAATACATAGGACAAAAAAATGATAGAGCTTCTTGTTCGTATAAAATAGATTTTACTGTTTAAAGGCAACCTTTCCTGTGTGTCCTTCCTGTGTATGGTTCTGGAGGTCAAAAGCTTGGTTTTACAATCGCGTGAGACACGTCTTCGGTCTCGTCACGATTTTTTATACAGTTTGGTCTAATATATTCAATTTTTCAAAACGGGAATAGAGGTAAAGGCAGACCTGCAAGGACTCCCCATGTGGCTTTTGTGATCGCGTCGCATAATCGTCTTCAAATTGTAATTTTTGCTCTCACAAGTGTGTCGTGCGAGACAGATACATTCTTTGGTTGGGAGACCCTATGTAGGTTCCGACCACGACTTAATTAAACGGGCTTAATGATTGGGGAGGATGAATAAGATTGCGAAAGACTCAGGATGACAGTCCAAATAATTGCACAGGAAGTCAAGTGAAAACATGAAATAAATATCATTTAGTTCGGTTACGCTTTGACTTTCCTCAAAACGAATTCTGTGCGTTTAAATCTCCCAAAAAGCCGTGTTATTTCATTGAAGGAATACTTCAAGCGTTTTTCTTTAATCAACTTGGTGTCACAATCGGCCCCATCGTATTGCTTACGAGAGAGACGACATTCTAACTTCATTATGAGGCGTGGTTCGGACTGGGCTTGAGATTAACGTTGACTAACGGCGCTTTTATTCAAAGGGATGATGCAGATGTTTTCTTTCAATTGTCAAAAACGGTGTCTTTTGAACCGTCCCAAACTTTTTATTTACCAATGGAATAAGGAAATCTCTCACTCATGGGTAACAAAAATGACCAACGCCCTCTTCTCACGTTTTCCTCATTTGAATTGCAGATATATCATTAGAATTAAATTATGCAGAGTTTTTCGTCAG